GAGCACAGGCAGCCCGTATAGGAACATCAATGACCCAGTCAATCGACATAAAATATGTATAAATAAATCAATGGAACCAGAGGAGCTGGCGGCTGAGGGTGGCTCCTGACATACTAAGTGTTTCCCTCTGCCAACGTGAAGCAGGGGTTCCCCAGGTGTTTGCTGTGTTACTCTCCATATTCTTCTGCACTGATTTTTTTCTAAAGTAGGACAAAAAGGATGTTCTGCTGAGAAGGCCTTCATGAACAGAGCCACCCCTTGATCACTAAGAGTCTGTACGGGTGTCCAGTGATGGAGTGTCCAGAACTCATGGCTCTCGGCTCCCTCACAGTGGTGGACCCCTGTTGCTCCCTTCTCTTGTAGGGAACAGCAGCATTGCTATGATTGACATTATGTGCCAATCTGAAATCTAAATCTGCTAGGGATTCCAGATGTGACCCTGAGCAAGCGTCTTCCACTCTCTAGCCCTCAGTTTCACCATCTGTACCATGGCAGACTGAGTTCGGTGGTCCTATATTCTTGCATGGCCCTTAAAGATAACTTACAGAGGACTTCTTTCTTTCTTTTTTAACTGAGACAGAGTCTTACTTTGTCACCCTTGGTAGAGTGTCGTGGCATCATAGCTCACAGCAACCTCAAACTCTTGGGCTCAAGCGATTTTTTTGCCTCAGCCTCCCGAATACAAGTGCCTGCCACAATGCCTGGCTTTTTTTTTTTTTTTTTTGGTTTAGTAGTTCAAACCCACCAGCCCTGAAGCATGTGGCCAGTGTGCTAATCACTGAGCTATGGGTGCCCAGCCAACTTCATATTTTCTTATCAAGTCCAATTTACGAGGGCTAGAGATTACTTTCCTAATTCACAGATGAAGAAAGTGAAGTCCTGCTCCCCCAGGGCTCTACTCTGGTCCCCACCCAGTCCAGTGCTCTCTTCAGCATATTCCTACTCCCTCTCCCACCTAGGCACTAACACCTATAGGCTAGACCCCACCCACTTGGCAAGGAGGACTTTCTGCGGCCTCTGACCTGCAGACCCTCGGCAAAGCAGCAACACAGATTCCACCTCCCTTCTCTTCTTCTGGCCTCCAGCACTGGCCCCTCACTCCCCTGGTCTTTGCTTGGCCTAAGTCCTATCCCATTCCCAGGAGGATTTTCTCTCCCCACTCCCTATCTGCATGCAGCCTGAGGTAGGCCCAGAGTTGCGGGAAGAGGAAATTCTGGACGGGAAGGGTGGGGAGGGCATCTAGTGCCTGTTGCCCATGGTACACCACCCCCAGGAGGAGAGGAAGGAGGGGAGTCCCTCACTGGGGTTAGGGGAAAGGGGCTCTGCAACCGCCTCTGTTTATCACCATGAGATTCCTGAGTCCCCTCAGGTTTTTTCAGAGAGCCCCAGTGACCGAGTTGGCTCTCCCCTCCTCCTTTCCAGTTGGGTATTCTTCACAAAGAATATCTCCTCAGGCGTGCCATGAGGTCCATGGGAACAGGTACCAGTCTGCTAAGTTCAAGCTGCATGGTACAGCACTCTTATGCAGGGGGTGGAAGCACGAGGAAGGGCAGATTACAAGCAGCACCCAGAGTTACAAGGCTCCAAAGACAGAAGAGGTCACTTACCTATACCATGAATCCTTCCAGGCCGCTCAGAGAAGGAAGCCCTCACCAGCAGGCTGAGCACTCCTGACCACTGGGCACAGACCTCTCTGGTCCAGCCAGGCTACCTCCCCTGCAGAGCTGGGCTCCTTCCCACCTGATACATCCTCACACATAACAACCCCCAGCAGGCCACAGCTCCCTCTTCCCTTTTTCTCCTCCCACCCCCACAGCCCAGCCCCTCACTTTTGGTCTGCAGACGCACACAGACCTGGCCTCTGAGAGACTTCCACCCAGGTTGGCCCCAGTTCCTCTCAGAGTCCCAGCAGACAGGCTACTCTCGAGGGCCAAGGCTGCATTTCCTCCTGCCTCTCTCCCCCAGCAGGGACCTGGCAGAACTATCTAGCAGGTGCTTAAATAGATACCTGTCAATACATATTAGGCCCTCAGTCAGCACTTGGCAGGAGCCTGCCTGGCTGACAATGGGAGATGGAGAACCTCATTCCCCACAGCTTGGCACAGTTTTCTCTCTATCCAGAGCCAGACTTGAGTCCACCCTGGATGGCTTTCTGCCTTCAAAGCCTTAGTTCTCCTCTCTGGCATGGGGAACAGAGCTCTGCCCCCAAGGGTGCGACCTAAGGGATATAAAAGCTCTCGTATCTCCTGGGTGGGGTAGGATGGGGTAGGTGACAAGGAATCAAGCCTGCCTTGTGCCCTGAGCAGAATCAGCCCTTTCTGGAAGCAACTGAAAAACTGAATGTTGGGAAACCATCCACCATCCCCTAGAAGTCCAAAATTGGAGCTCAAAAGCAACTCTGATGGGGCACTGGACTGAAATGAGTTATAAAACATCTCATCTCCCACAAGGACCAAGGCCAAGGCTTGACTCAAGCAGCTGGTGGTGCCCAATACCCTCTGGCAGCTTGACCCTAACCCATCTACCACCCCAGGCCTCACTCTGCCCTTCCAAACACTGCCCTGGCCACGCCAGGCAACTATCCACTCCTCTCCCTGTCCTCAGGCCCTTGCACATCTTGTTCTCTTTACTGGAATACCATTCCGCCACCCTTCCCTGTTTATCTGGGTAATTCATTCATTTGGCCATGCGTTCATTCAACAAAAATTCAGAGGGCCTCTTCTGTGGACTAGGCACTGGGCTGGATGCCAGGGACCCGGTTGCAAACCGGGCAGTCCAGCAGGCCTCATTCTCATGGGGCTTATGTTCTGGGGGTAAGGAGCACACATGGACTTGTAGCAACCCCAGCAAATAAGAACATCAACTGGGAGTGGAGCTCTCAGAGGTAGGGCCTGAGTTTATCTTAACTAGGGAGGTCAGGGAAGGCCTCCATGAAGACGTGGCCTCTGAGCAGTGAGAGGAGCGAGCAGGCAGAGCACCTGAGCACACAAGGCATTTGGGCCCAAGATGGAGTTGGAGGATATTTGCTAGGAAGGGGAGAACAGGAGTGTGCAAGGATCTGCGTGAAGGGAACCAGGGGTTCTGATCACCCTTCTGATCTCAGTAAGATTAAAATGTCACCCCCCAAGGAAGCCTGCCTTGACCCCTTTGTGTCCCAGTGAACTCTCAGTATCCTGCATGCCCCTTGTAACTGCCTGTCCATCTGTTCTCCTGTTTTGCTATTCTATGGATTATCCTGTTCAGTCACTGGTGTCATAAGGGGAAGACTTTATCTGTCTTGTTCAGCCCCATATCCCACTAAGAACCAGGTTAAGTATGCTTTGCATGCTTTTTTTAATGCAAGGAAGGAAGGTAAGCAGGTGGTCCATATGAGCTCAGAATCCCTGAACCCTCTGAAGACAACCAGAACTCCCTCACTCAGCAAGTTCTACCCAATCGGAAGTGTTCCTGAGAACAGGGGACTATGTCAACCCCACCAGGGTCTCTGCCACAATGTTAAACTCAAACCTCCATAGCACTGTGCTGGACAGAACTTCCAGAGCAGGCAGTGGGAATGATCCTGCTCAGACGAGAGGATTATGGGTAGACGCAGGTGTGAAGGGGAGGGGGACAAAGAACAGGTAAGTGAGATCTTGCTATGAAAATGTTATGTTGCTATGTTTATGGTTAGCATCTTGCGGTTTGAGAGGAAACAATCATATTAGTGAATAAAATAATATAATTCTGAGAAAAATTATAAGATACCAGGAGGAAAAGCTTCCCTCAGTTGGACCTTATCTAAAGCAACATCATCTATGCTGGTGAATGTACTTCGTCTCCATACAGAGACTGGCTAGATGTCCTCCCAGTGACAGTGTCTCTCTCCAGAGTTTGAACATGAACACACAGGGAATGGGCCTGGTTGTTTTGGTAACATGTAGGCTTTTTTAAAAAATGGCTCTGAAATGCTTATGACAAAAGCAAAATACCTTTCAATATAGTTCAGGAAGTGGCAAAACTAAACTATGGTTTTAAAATTCATTTAATAGTAATCTTAAAGTTTGGAGGCACCTACTAGGCAGGAGCAGGAGGATTCTGGGTACTGAAAACATTTTCTTTCTTGAACAATGAACTTGGTAAGTTTACAGTGGTTTTGTGACCATTCATTAAACAGAACACATATGACTTGTATGCTTTTCTGAATCTATGTTACATTTTGCCTAAAAGTGGGGGGGGAAAGGACCAAGTGCCTGAAGTTCTGCTGCTTCCAGGGGCAACCAGCACAAGCTGGTAACCACGTGCTCAGGGAGGGAAGGGAAGCAGGCTGCCTCCTCAGGGAGACCTTTCTGACCTCCAGCCCCAGCCAGCACCTCGTCACACCTTTTTTTCTTGGCACCAACTATGGTGTAGGAATATGGTTTTCTATCTGTCTCTCACCTCACAGAGCATTTCTGGAGAGAACACGCATCTTATACTCCTCTGTGTCAATTTGCCTGCACAAAGAAGTTCCAGGAATGCATACTGAATGAATGAAAACGAGAATAAGGTGCCCATGTGCAAACACTTATTGTGTGAAATAGAAAATGAATGGCTGCAGGGAGTGGAAACAGTGTACTGTGGGGCCGCCTGGAATGTGTGGTCATGGCTGTTGGCAAAGGGGAGATAGCATGGGGAGGGAGCAGAGGCCTGGACTTAGTCAAAGGGTCAGAGGGTTGATGTGAGGGTGGAAGGGATTCAGGAGGGGGTGGACTTGCATTCAATGCCATTCCAGCAGCCCCTTACCACGTGGCACACCACTGAACAGCCCTCCCCACCCCCCCGGCTTTTAGAAACAAGTGCACACAAGTCCATTTAACATTCTCAGCACAGGCCCTGATCGCTGGCCACCATTGCCCTTTCCTTTCTTGACCTGCAGAAACAGGAGATATCAGAGAACACACATGTTTCCTTGCTTGTTTTTTCTGGACACTCAAGAGAAGTCCTGGGAAAAGAAGATATTGCCAGAAGGTGCACTGACTTACCGAGCACAGTCGGCTCTGCTATCTCCTTCAAACAGGAGTTTTTGTAGGACACAGCCTTGGACAGCTGCCAGAACCCCACAGGGACCACCCTGCAAAGAACGACAGGTGTTACTGCCAGTGATAACTGACCTAGGAATCCCTGCCCAGGGTAGAGAGCATGAGGACCCTGCTGTGTGGCATGGCCCCCATGCTGTCTTTAACACAGCAACTGCCTCCACAATGCGCTGACCCTGAGTCACAGATAGTGACAAGGCCACAGTTCCTACCCGAGAGGGAAGGGCCAGTCTGCAATGTATAACCAGTCAGATGTGAAGCTAGGGACATCACTACAGGTCTCCCTGTATCTAGGAAATGTTTCCATGTCCACAGGCTGAGGGTATTATCTACCCAACATTGAAGACCCATCCTAAAATCCTCCTCCTCCAGGAAGACTTCCCTGCCCATCTCGGCTGCCAGTGAGCTTTTTAGCAGCCTACACTTACATGCGCTCTCTTATGCCCAGTTTGTGGCCTGCCTTGGCATGCCATTAGGTATGTCTTTGTCCCTCCCACCCAGCAGTGCAAAGGCTCCCTGAGGAGCCCACCCATGTAGGCATCTCAGGGCCTAGCACAGGGGCTATACCCCAGAACAATCAGCAAAGGCCAGTGTGGAAAGAACAGCACAAACAGCCCATATCCTGGTTCAAGGACTGTCAGAGGGGCAGGTTGGAGGCAACCTTGAAGTGGGAGTACAAGAAGATGGGCTGAGTTTAGGTTCACAAGGGAAAGACAGAAGCTTGTGGTCTTGGGACTCTCTTTCTCAGGTAGTGTGAGCAGGGCAGTCTCCTAAGACTTGAGAAACGGAACCTGTCTGAGGAACCTCATCTGCTAAGTCTTCTGTCCCGGATTTAACATATCTTCCAGTCCCAATGAGTATAACTTGGGAAATGTGTCAAGCCATATTCAAAGCCTGTCACCATCAACCCACATTTGCCCAGCTTCTATCACATCTTCCTCTTCAAGCACTTGATCTTTCTGCCTTTTCCTATAGCCCCTAGACTTCCCTGTAGCCTCCTCCTTATTCAGCTCTACCCAGAACATCCTGTGCACTTCTCACTACTCAGCCTGAGAAGTCCCCTCCAATGCTCCAGACCAGACCCAGGGCACCCCCCTGCTCCCTCTCACCAAGCATTTCAGCACTGTGTGCCACTCATGGTCAGTGCTCCCTAAATCTGTGTGCAAGCTGTACATCTCCAAAGTAGAGGGTCTTGTTCCTTGGCTCTTCCTCCACTAGCCACACAGAAGTACCTGTACCCAGTGACAACTCAGTACATACGGGGCTGGCTGGCTCTGAAGAGCCCAGTTACGGCCTGCAGAATTTACCAAATTGAGAAGCACCTTCCACCCTGTGCATGATGCCTGGCAGAAAGGGCCCTGGGAAACTTAAAGCAACCTGCCTTGTTCTGCACAATGCCGTACTTTAACGAAGCTATGTTACTAAAGGAAAAACTCTGAACTTTCCATTCTTCATTGAAACAGCAAAAGCTGGAACCAAACAGAAGGGTCTTTATTTCCTATAAAAAGAAGAGAGAAAATGTTATTGGTTGTTTTAAAAGCAAACAAAAATACAGTTGCTCAGTGTAAATATTCCCACAGGAGTTGGTCTTGAATTCCAGCAGGGCAGTCCATTTTTTAACAGGGTTATCTCTTTTCTTTTTATTTTTCAATCCCATTCTTCTCATATTTGAGGAAGCAGAAACTCAACCCTGAGGGTTATTACCTCTGGAATATCTTTAAACTAAACCAGCCTGTGCTGACAAGAGCCAAAATCTTTGTCAAGGAAACACAAAATTTTAGTTTTGCAAGGGATGTTGGAAATCCTCTGATCCTCTACAGGAAAGACTAGAGGTTTTCAAACCGGCACTCAGATTAGAACCACCTAGGAAGCCCTTTAAAATCATCCCAAAGCTCAGGCAACATGCCAATTAAATCTGAATTCCTGGGGGGTGAGACTCCAGTGTCAGTAGTTTGACACCTCCCCCAGCAGATTCCACTGTGCAGCCAAGGGTAAGAACCACTATTCTAGTACAAGCAAACTATGATTCACAGGCCAACTCTACCTCTCCAACTTGCTTTGTAAATAAAGTTTTATTGGCACACAGCAATGCCACATTTGTTGACATATTGTCTATGGCTGCTTACACCACAATGGCAGAGTTGAATCGTTGCAGCAAAGATTGTATGATCAGCAAAACCAAAAATATCTATCTATCCCATTACAGAAAGAGCGTGCTGACTCCTACTGCAGTACACCTTTTTATCCCAAGTAGAATCCCCTCTATGACACCCCATGAACTCTGCTTAAGCACCCCAACCACACCTAGAGAAGAGGTTTCCTCTACCTCCAAAGGCATTTTTTTCATAGCTCTGTCTCCTCCAGATTTCTGGCTGATAACAAGCTTACTATTCATGTCCCATTAACCTAAGTACTCTTGCCAGAGTCCCAGAAACAGTCAATCCCTTCCCCACTAACAGACCCTCAGTGGGAAGGCAGAGCTCTGAGGAGGTCTCTGAAGCCTCAACTGAGCCCAAGACTAACAGTGGATTCTGTAGCCCCCTCCATGGACCCTTTCTCTGGGTCAGACCTTTCCTACAGACAGATTATTTTCCACTAGAATTGGTTCTTTTTTCCTTTCTTTAACTGTAGGGAAAATCTCTGTGACAGGAGCATTTGTCCATGTGTGCTCAAATGTGGGCTCATGGCACACAGGGAGAGAGAATATATGAATTCATTTGTCAGGGCTCAGTTTCCCTTCTTGTGTCAACTATAATCAATCCATGTGTTTGACTTAAGCTTCCTGAAAGCCTAGAAACTATAGACTTGGGTTTTCTGGCTGAAGCCCATCTCCATTCTCTTAACTATAGAATGATGGCTCCCAGCCAGGCACAGCCTAGTTGGCAGAGCCTAGAAACCCAGACTCTACTTGGCATCGAAGCCAAGGGCCCTGAGCCTTCATTTTCCCTCCTGTGGACCTCACGTTTTCCAGCTGCTTTTGGAGATGCTACTGCTAGGTGGTCTTGAGGTGCCTCTAAGGGCTCTTCCCCAAATGGGAGTGCTCTTGCCATTAGAGCCCAGTGGCTCTGAAAGGCCAGAGCACCTACGAGCAGGTTTAGGGCCACTTCAACATGCCTGGCCCTCTGTGGCTTCAAAAGAGAAAGGAGATGGAGAGGGAAGGGGAGATAAGAAAGAAGGGGAGAGGAGAGGAAGAAAAGAAGGAAAGAACAGAAATTTTAGGAAAATCTTATACTTTTTCATCTGTGTGCTGAGTAATTATGCAAAAAGTGGACAAGGAGTCAGCTGTGTCCCAAGAGTTTTATTTTTCCTCCTGGATCCTGGTGAAAGGCCAGGAAAGGCCAGGAGGAGTGACACTCCCTCCCATGGGAATCTCTGACCATGCAGACGGTGAGGCCACCCTGGCAGCTGGAGATAGGTGGTAAGCAATCCAGACTATCCCTGCAGAGGAGTCTGCTAAGGTTAGACAAGAAGATGTGCCCTATTCACTGTGACCCCGGGTCCCTCTAGGAGGCCATGGGAGTAAACTTGGATGGTGCTAAAGAACTGTTAACACCTCCCCATCCTTCTCTCACTGCAACTTGGCCAGTGCCCAGCTTAGGAGACAAGTGCAAGAGTGGAGCTACTCTAATGGGGATATTTATCCTGTTCCCATCACTCTGCCAGTGCCCTTTAGGGATGTGATAAAGTGACTCTGGTCCTGCAATGTTTGCCTGGGGAGGGTAAAACTTCCTCCTTCACCTTTTATCTTAGACAGCGAACGGGAGCTGCCAGGATCAGAACAGTTTTCTACATTATTAACTCAGGTCTTCTTCTGCATCACACCCAAATTTCCATCTCAACAGCGACCAAGAAATTACAAAGAGATGGCTTAGGCCAGGAAGATGAAAACCACACCATCCATACCGATTCAAATCAAGAGGCACTGAGCATGGGAGTCTATTACACATCTAAGTTGACACCTACCTTTGCTACTGAGAGGTCGATCGGCTTTGACTCTATCTGTAGCTTGAGCATTGATGGGACTGGGAGCAGGATAACTTCTTCCCTTATCATCTCATCTTCCACATCCTCTGAAAGAAAACCATGGCCATGTGAGCCCCACATTATGCTTCATGGAGAACAGACTATGAAATCGCCAAGCACTGTGGTATTGATAATTTGGAGAAGGTTTAGCAAAAGGAGGGCTCCTTCACCATTCATCCCAGATTGGTTTGAGGCTCCCAGGTCTTCACCAACAGGAAGTAAAGCAAAGCAAGAAAGACCTTACTCCTGTCACAAATTCTCTCTGTTCCTACCATAGGGATCCTTTTAGGCAGACCTTAGCTACTGACCCACTAGAAAGTTCTACATGTGGACATGCAGTGAACTGAGTGCTTATGCCTAAGCCACCGAGCTAGGCCCAGGGAAGATTAGCTCAGACACATTGCTTACAAAAACGGTGGCTACCATTAGCAAGTCCATGTCCCTGAGGACAAACAAGAGGAGGACAGAATTAGAAAGGAAAATGTAACCATGACTAATAAAATAATAATAGCACATCATCACTTATTATAGCTTACGTTTATTGATCATTCGGATTTTATCAGGTAACCCCCTCAACAACCTCTTGAAGGCATAATTATTCCATTTACAGACGAAGAAAGTGAGAGAAGAGTTAAGTAACTGGCCCCAAGTCATGCAAATGAAAAGTGGCAAACACAGGATAAAAACTCAGATGACTCTTAGACACTTTGCCATCCTACCTCCCCAGAACTCCAGAGGGACACTAAGCCGTATCCCAGATGTGCTCATCTCACAGTCAGGTCACGATATGAGACTTGGGCCCAGTGTTGGAGATGGGCCTTGTGAGAGGTGTTTGGGTCATGGGGGAAAGATCTTTCATAAATAGCTTAGTACCCTCTCCATGATAATGAGTACGTTCTCACACTATTAGTTTGCATAAGAGCTGGTTGTTTTAAAAAAGCCTGGCACCATCCCCTACCTCTTTTGCTCCCTTTCTCACCATGCGACACCTGCCACTTGCTCCTCCTTTGTCTTCTACCTTGATTGAAAGCTCCCTGAAGTCCTCACCAAATACAGATGCCAACAAAACGCTTTTTGTACAGCCTACAGAACCATGAGCCAAATAAACCTCTTTTCTTTATAAATTACCCAGCCTCAGATACTTCCTTTATAGCTGGCTGAGGCCCCCTCGCCATTACACCGACTACCACTGCATTCTCCAGAACTCTCAGGTGAAGAAGCCAAGGGAAAACAATGCCAAGGCAATGGTGCTACACAGCTGAGCAGAGTGGGCTCCAGAGGGTAGTGGAGGCCTTGGCTCCATGAATTTGGCTCCCGAGAGGAGCCTTCCAGAGTGAGGCTATTTGAGTGGGATGTAGAACCAGAAGCCAACATTCCCAGGACACATATCTTATATCTTATTCTACAGCCTCCTTTTCCCCCTGGAGGAGAACAAGCCACGGCACAAGGCAAATTCCTAAAGACTCAGTCCACCGGACAGATTTATTTTTGACCTGGGGGAAAAAAGTGTGTAATTTAAATAAAAATATAAATTTAAATGAGAACACTTCTTAGTTAGATTCTCTGAAAACCTAACCTGTGACCATGGTTTCACACAAATAATATTTTCTGAAATGAAAACAAAATGCTTACCCAGCAACATGAATGGATCTTAAAAACATGGTGCTGCGTAGAGAGAGTGAGATATGTAACACAATACTATTTATATCAAGTAAAAATACATGCACACAAAACAACACTACACATTCGGCAAGAACATATGCAAGAAAAAGATATAGATTAAGCCTAAGAGAATGGTTGCTTATGGGGGCAGAAGGCATAGGGCTAAAGGGAAATAGGGAAAGAAAGGTAAGAGGGAGAGAGGAGGGCTGATGGCCAGACTTTGCAAAGACGAATACTAAGAATATTCACAGGAGCAGGGAGTCCTCAAACGTTTTAAACAGGGGGCCAGTTCACTGTCCCTCAGATCATTGGAGGGCCGGACTGTGGGCCCTGGGACAAGACAGCTGCGAAGCAGAACAGGCAGCGGCGGCAAAAACACCCGGCAGGCCAGATAAATGGCCTAGGCGGGCTGCATGCGGCCCGCGGGTGGGCCGTAGTTTGAGGACGCCTCCTCTGGAGGAACAGAGATGTGTGATTAGTTCTACCCTAGGCCGCTGGGATCCCCCTAAAAAGGGGCAAAGTAACCTGAGTGATCCCACTGGACCAATGCCTCAGGCCAGACAGTTTCCCACAGCCCAGAAGGGACAATATTTAAGCCTCTGTGGAGGTTTCCATTTAGTCTGAGGTTGTCAGGGAGGAAGCTAGCCTGAAATGTGCTCTGCCTGAGCACCGTGAAGTTAGCCCAGGAAGGGAGACTGGGGGCCCAGGGGCCCAGGTGGAGCACAGTCCAGCTCAAGCCCCCAGGAGGAGGAAGCAGCCACCCTTGACTTCTACAAGAATAAGTTCCAGCTCAAGGAGTTGGTTCAGGACCACATAGCAGGCCTCAGTCCCAGATGTGGCGGGACCGCCATGCAAGGGAAGAACAAAATGCTCCAGAATGACATGTTGGCCAAACTAACAAAATGGTTAGCAAATGCCAGTGGTTTCAGAATGCTATTTTTAAGGCCCTGGCATAAATTTCTGGTTGAAAAGAAGCAAAGGATTTGTTTCCCACACCATTCCGTTTTATGTACCCTTGGAGGGAAGAAGAAAAAAATATATACACTCACAGTCATTGCCTTGAATTTCTAGAGAGAGAGTCAATGGAAGCACCAATACCAGAAACTTGGCATCCGTCTAGGCTTTGATTTTGATTAAAGACTCCACCTCTCTTCCACTCCTCCCAATTATTCCCCCAGGCTGAAACCTTAGCCCTTCCCCACCCACCAAGCCACCCCCGCCTCTGGATTATCCTGCCTGGAGAATATCTCCTATCCTGTCCCCCCACTCCCACCTTTCTCCACTGTTACAGGAATACATCATTATATTTCTATTTGCTCATCAAGTACTTTATTTGCACTCATAATGTACTAGGGAGAACATGAGCTAGGGGAGGTCCCAAAATGACTGCAGCACCACCTCTGCATTCAAGGAGCTCACTGCCTAGTAGGGAAGACAGAGCCCCCAAACAAATTGTAATATAGCATGATAAGTGCTGAAAAGGAATGAGTTTGAGGGTTTTAAGAGCAGAAGGGAAGAGATACTTCTGCCATAAAGGGTCAGGGACACTTCCCATAAGAGGAGATACATGAGCAGGGGCCTGAAATACCTGTAAGGTTTCCCAGGTAACAGGAGTCTCATCACCTTTTCTCTAGACTATTTTAAGAGCCTCCTTACCAGTTGTCTCCTAACATCCACCTGTACCCTTAAAATCCATCCCACGCCCATAGCCCAAATAGATGTAGCCCCTGAAGACACACCCTAGACATCTTCCTTACTAGCACGGAGTCTTCCAGGGCTCCTCACTGCCTAATGACTTACAGTCCAGCTCTTCAGATCAGAACTCAAAATCATCTTGGCCCTGGCCCTAGACCTGGCCCAGCCTGGTTCCCAGCCTCATCTCCACTGACCCCCAGACTCTTCCACCCTTCCTTGACAAGCCAGTCACCTCCAGACAATCTCTCACTCCAGGCCCATGTGGTTTGTGGTTCCTTCTACATCTCTATTTGGCAAGGGCATGGACATCCTTCAAAGTCCAGCCTAAATGCCAACTCCCTATGGACACTTCCAGAATCTACCACAGAACAGGGTTCACATACCTCTTGAAGCAGTTAAGCACTGCTGGACACCTGTTTCGTGTGATGCTTTTGGAGGACCCCTCTCTTCCTTTGTTCCCCCTAGCTTGCCTTCCAAAAGGGGCTAGGCCACCTTTGATTCCTCTTGGTCTGCTTTCAACAGAGCCTTGCTATGCCCTGGGAGGTAATTGCTAACAAATGGTTACTGAATTTAACCAAAGTAAGATAAATTGAGATGGAACAGAAAATACTGTTCCTCTAACCAAATTCTGCACCAACCTCTCCCCAAGACCTCTCTTTCCTCTTCTCTCTTCCATAAACTCTCTCAGGGACTGGGGTCCAGGGTCTTATATCCTTTATTTCCTTCTCATTTTCTAAATCATTAGTTGAGCCTCCAGCAAAGTAGGCCTCCCTCTGGAAAACATGCACATACACACATGTGCACTTGCATACATATACACATGTGTGTACACTCACACGCATTTCAAACAGCTGGCTCCTCAGAATTGCTACAAGCCTTCCTTCCAGTAGAAGCTTTCTGGGTTCAGAGGCCAGGAACTGCTTTGCTTAGTGTCCAAACACAAGTGGATTCATTGGAAAATCTTAAAGTGCAGGGCTACACCGAAGGCTTCAGAAGCCAGCAATTCCTGGCTCCTACCTAGGCCAGACAATCCCCTCCAGCCATTCTGGTGATTAAAACTCTGAAGATCCATTACCTCTAAGGAGAGTTAACGCAGAGTAAACAAACCTCTGGCCCCTGCTTCCCTGAGACGTGTCCTTCTCTTTCAACTTCATCCAAGTGAACTGTCAGACTACAAGGATCACACACGCAACTTCTCAAGGGGGTAAGCTTTCTTCCTTTGGTTTAAAAGGGAGTGCTTCAAAGGGAGAAGAAAAGCATGTGAACACCTCCTGTCTGCCAAAATGACCTGAGAGGCAAACTGCTGGCTTCTAGAAGAGCAAATGTCAAGACCACTCAAGCCTCATCCTTTCACATCCAGTCCTTGGGCTTAACATCCTCCATCTACAATCATTAGTCTTTGCTGAGTAGAGAAAAAGACAGCAAAAAAAGAGTTGATCAAAACTCAAGAGTGGAAGGAAATGTTCTCTAGCCTGATCTTGGAGAATAGTCACACAAGAGGACACACAGTGGAACGGCACAGCAAGGAACACTCGAGGTCTCAGCACTTGGCACAATTTCATTGCTTATATTTTATACCTCAGTAATATGTTGGTAAGTTTTTTAAAAAATAGACCTTTCCAGGCAGAGCTATACTAGTATTCTGACCGAGAACTATCTTCTGGAGACCTTAGTAGGTTCTAAATAGCCTGGAAAACTCCAAATGCAGGAAACGCTTCTCAAGCCCAACAGTGTGGATCCAGAAATGATCAGACTTCTTAGTTCTTATTTCTCTAGGAAAAAAAGACAAGTAGCAGAAGACACCAACAAAAAGAAAGAAAAGAAAGAAAGAAAGAAAGAAAGGAAAGAAAGGAAAGAAAGAAAGAAAGAAAGAAAGAGAGAAAAAGAGAGAAAGTGAAGCCGGCTGGGAGCCTCCATCCCAGCCAGTAGGGAGCCCCCCTCCCACTGCCTCCCACACAGAGCCAACAAGTACCCCTTGGGGCCTGATGAGCACAGCAGAGGCACCCACTGCACGTACCGAGCTGCAGGGCATCCAGCTCTTCATTCACCTTGTCAGATGCCAGCAACTGATTCTTCCTGGAAAAAAAAAAATGTCAATGTACTAGAGGAGAATGACAGAGAAACACAAACAGCAGAGAAGACAGGAAGAAGGGCTGGGTGGCTATTCGGGAGACAAGTTACTCTAGCTTGGCCCTGCTTCTTTGTGTGTGCCTTGAACATGTCACTCCTCCTCTCTCTGCCACAGGTTTCACATGGGATGGGACCGAATGGCCCCCAAGGTGCCTGCCTATTCTGTGTTTTTATGAGGAACCACATATAAGCCAATATGGGATGGTAAATGCTGTAGTTAGACACCTGCCAAGCACTGAATGTAAACGTTTCCCTCTGATGTCACTGAGATACTACCAGGAAACACACACACAAAATCAAGTTCTTGTAATCATTTCCCAGAATATTTTTCATCTCATCTCTATGTTTTTTTTTGTTTGTTTATTTCCTCTCCCAGCTGTCTTCTAAAGCCATCAACAGCAATTTATAAGAGCCATCAACAGCCATTTATAAGACAGTTCTGAAATGCGTCAAGGTATTTCAAGAAACCTACCCTGTATCCTTCTGTTTCCTGAAAAACTTGCCCTGTGATCAAATCCAGATACATGAATGATGAGCTTTCTTAAAATGGGCCACCTGAATTTTAACTCCCTTTAGATTTTTTTCTGTCCTCCAGCATGCATCAATCTAAACTAAAGTAAAATCAGTTTTTAAAAAGGATATATTAAAAATAACAATATTACATCACTCTCTAAAAACCCATTTACTATGTTAAAAGAAATGACAGCTCTTTTGAACATGGCATTGAAATATCTTTTCCTCCAACATCCTTGCAGGGTAAGATATGATTGAAGTAACAATCGTAATCTTGCCATGGTGCACTCTATTGAATTGGTTTCCTCCTGAAGATGTATGAAGGGGTGTGAATGGAAGACTGCAGAGGACACACAGTCCCAAGTGAGCACATGCTTCTGTGGACACCGAGTCTCCTTTGCTAGTCCTGGAACACAGAGCTCCATGCCCCAACCCCGAGGCACCATTCCTCTTCCACACATCCTCCCCACTCAGTCAAGCCATTTTCCTCAATTCAAAAACCACAAAGTTCCTCTGCCCTGACACTACCAGGACTCTACAGGCAATCTCCCGAGGCTTCATGAAGAATGAGCTGGAAAAAGGAGTGAAGGCAGAGAGGGGTGGTTAGAGACATGTGAAAGGGCCAGTCAATGCTGAGGCTGATTCAAAGTATAATCCCCCCACCCCAGAAATGGAGAACTAGACTTTCATCAGTAGTCTCTCCTAGACTACGTCTCCCACCCTACCCGTACCCCTGCTCTGCAGCAAAAGGCTGAGGACCTGACCTCTATTCTCCCTATCCTTCTTACACTGCTGCATCTGGAAACTAAGGCAAGGCACCTTCCCCTTGCTGTGCCTCAGTGTCCCTGTCTAAAAAGCAAGGACCAAGACATTCATGCTGGATGGCCTCTAAAATCTCCCTAGAACAATTTCAAGCAGAGAATAGAAGAACCAGAGACAACTCTCCAACATCCTGAGTCCAGTGGTATCTCTCCTGAACCCAACTCTGCGCTCTGCATCTTCCTCTCTTAATAGATTATTTTAAATCCTCCAAACTGGTCTGCTGACTCCTAGTGTGAGCTACCCATCAGCCCCCACATCTTCACATGGGTGCCAAAATCCTCTTTCTAGAAAGTAAATCTGACCATGACACTGCTGCTTTGCAGAAATTTTTCAATTGTTTCCCCTCATCACTATCAACACAACAATAATCATATTTATAAAAATAACAGCAAGAATAATAATAATAAACTCTTTCTGGCCCCTTTGACTATTTTAGGCACTATGCTAACTGTTTTGCAAGCCTCAAAAGTCACATGCGCTTCTCAGGACAGTTTTATGAAGCAGTTATTTCATTGAGTCTCACAGAGGTTTAGTAATTTTCCCAGGGTTACACAGCATCAGAATGTATTTTTTATTTTTTAGAGACAGAGTCTCACTTTGTTGCCCTTGGTAGAGTGCTGTGGTGTCACAGCTTACAGCAACCTCCAGCTCTTGGGCTTAGGCGATTCTCTCGCCTCAGCCTCCCAAGTAGCTGGGACTATAGGCAACCACCACAATGCCCAGCTAAGCATCAGAATTTAAATACAGGTAATGACTCCAAAAACAATGGCAATAACCAGCACATGTGCTGCTTCCTTATAAAAATAGAATAGAGGCCCATTAGGGTATCCTGCAAGGCTTCCCATGATCTGGCCACCTACCACCCAGCCTCATCTCACTCTGCACATCATACTCTACCAGCATTTTCTCCACGGGGAATGTCTCAGCCCAGACCTTTGTACCTTTCTATAAGCTGCTCACTTCATCTAGAATACTCTTTGGCAAACTCGTATTAATCATCTAAAGTCCAATCAGAATGTTAACCTTCTTCTCAATTCCAAAGAATGCATTCATTCATTTCTTCACTCACCCAGCACACATGTGGCACTATCTGGCAAGCTTATCTCCCTGTCCAAAAGAAACTCAGATATAAATTACAACGTGATGTGGTATGGTAGGCTGAATAACGGCCCCAAAGATAACCATGTCCTAAGTCCTCAAACCTATAATGTTGCCTTATATGGCAAAAGTTATTTTGCAGATGGGATTAAGTGAAGGATAACTTACATGGGGAAATTATCCTGGATTGTTCAGATAGGACCAACATAGTCACACAGGCCCTTATAGGAAGGAGGCTGAAGGAAATCCAACACAGAAGAGAAGGCAGTGTGACAACAGAAGCAGAGATGAGAGTGACACACTGTGCAGATGGAGGAAGGTAACACAAGCCAAGGCATACAGGTAGTGACTAGAAGGTTAAAAAAAAAAAAGAAACATGTTCTTTCTTGGAACCTCCAAAAAGACCTGGCCCTGCCAACACCATGACCTTACTTAGCCTAGTGTAACTGATTTGGACTTCAGCCCTCTAGAACTACGAGGTAATAAATTTATGTTGTTTGAAGCCACTAAGTTTTTGGTGATCTAGGATAGCAGCAATGGTCAACTAATACATATTGTAAGAGTCACAGCCAAGGAGGAAGAAAGGACTGCAAGATTCTGTCTCCTATGTAACTTGGTGTCCAGTATCTAGCCAGTGTTCTCTAAGAGGGTGCTGAATGCCAGAGTGACTTTCACAGAAGCTAAATGCCTTTCGCAAGGTCACACATCTTAAATATGCCTGAGCCAGGACTCAAACCCAGGTCACTGGCTTCAAATGTTCTGTTCTGCTCTTTCCTCTATCTCATATATCCTTCCCCCGCTCAGAAACCTCCATGGCTTCCTGCAGACCACAACGTAAGGTTCAAACCTCCCAAGTGGCTCTTTTGGTTCCTGAGGGTAGACAGGTGGCCATGAGCTGTGGCAAGAGGGTGGGGATGGGAAGGGTACAGCTGGGCCTCTCTCCCGGATCATGAGACTTTCATGCAGAGGGCCATCCATCAGCTGCAAGAGCCCAGCTCAGACGCTTTGTGCCTGTTTCCCATAGATCTCATCACCACAGGAGACTTCATATTTGCTTACACACAGAGAATGTGTTTATTGTTCCTTTCATGTGCCCCTTTGTGGCATAAGCATTAAGAAGTTTAAAAGGTCAATTTAAAAGCATATTCTTGCCTTTGAGTGAAAACTATTATGAACAACAATGACAAAAAGATAAATCAAGAGATTCAAAACACTTTTTCAAAGTGTGATTGTGCAGATAACACAGAAACATGTGTCAAACTGTGCAACTAATAAATCCATGGAGGCCTGGTGGCAGACCCCCAGCTTGCCTGCTCTGTCTGAGGCCTCCACCTCCCACTGCAGTTTCTTTTGTGCCCCACAGTGGGGCAAAGGCCAGGACATCACCAAGTGTTCAGGACTCCAGGGGACCAGGACTCAATCCCTGAATAACTAAGTCCTCATCCCCAAAGTCCGGGCTTCTTGCCTTTGTTCTCTCTTCCTCTATTTGACCATGAGCAGCTCCCTTACCCTCTGTGGCATCAGGTCCCTCATCTGTGCCATGGGGGAAGTCTGAGTGTCTCTAGGGACGTGACTAGGTGCAGGGGCTCAGAGAGGACCAAAGTGCCCTGTCACATCTTCTTGAAGATACTTTATTGCTTATGCATCCAACACTTTCAGAAACATTCACATCAAAACGAGAAGAAGAGACACTCCTTCTCTATGTTTGGTTCTAGATACTCAGCTAAATTATACATTCCCAAGGAAATGGATCTTGTGAGAATAAAGATACTAATTACTTACTGCTATGTATTTGTCCCCTCTAAAGTTTGTATTAAAATTTAATCCCCAATGCAGCAATATTGACAGATGGGGCCTTTAAGGGGTGACTGGGTGACATAGGCTCTGCCCTCAAGAATACATCAGTCCATTCACGGGTTAATAAGTTAATGGATTAATGGGTTGTCATGGGAATAGGAAGATAAACCTGAACTGGCCACATGATGGTGAAGGCCCTCAGCAGAAGTACCCCTTCAACTTTCCATTTCCCAGCTCCAGTACTATAAGAAATAAATTTTGTTTCTTTACAAATTATCCACTTTCAGATATTCTGTTAAAAGCAACAGAAAATAGACTAAGACACTTACTATATATTTAAAGAAACATCAGAACCCAGTGTCATTGAAGTTCAAAATTGACCCCATTCATATGGCATAGGAATCTAGAATATTAAAATTTACATAATTTTTTCCCATGGCAATGATATCCCAGCACACTCAAATGAAGCAATGTAAAATTACCTGGTTGAGCAATTCTATGAACCAATTCACACAAGATTCCCTGGTGGAGAGAGTTTTTTTCTTATAGTCCCACTGAACGTATGTTCAAAATGAAAAACTCCTAAATGCAAATAAGAAAATGATACACCATGAGTGAAACCTGCCAGACACAATAAAGAGGTACCCAAGAACTTGAGATTATAGAAGAACAATCTAAAAGAAGCTATAAATTAGATTAGAGAAACTTTTAAAAGA